TCTTTATAAAATAAAAATGTATAATTTCTTTTATATAATTCTATTTTTCTCTATCATTCCATAAATAAAAAACATTTCATCAAAATTTTAGAAATCAATAGATACGAAGTGTTTCATATGAACAAGCGTTAAAATTCAAATATCATTAAAATGAAGTTTATTTAAAATTAATTAAAAGCAAAATTTTGATTATTTAGTAACAATCTTGTGATGTTTACAAAAAAATTTTAATTTTAATAAAGTTAATTACTTAAAAAAATCTCAAAACATTTTCGTAAAAAATTAATTTTAAACACACTTTGTATTTAAATTCTAATAATAATGCTAGGAAGTATACGAACATAAGATACATTTTTTGTTCTTCATTTTACTGCCTGTAACAGTGAAGCTATAAAAAACTATCTAAAAATAATATCGTTGACGTTTCACAAACGTTTTCCACTCGCAGATAGTCATATTTTATTTATTCTTCAATTTATGTTATGTCTCTAAAACACGGAATTGGAATGCCTCTTCGATAATTTCCTTGACAACAGCTGATCTCACTTGACACCTGTTTTCGAGTACCTTGTGTATAATAGCGAACAAATACGTTGTCTTGTATAATAGCGAGTAAATATTCTGATTTCTTTGTCTTGTTACATCATCTATTACAACAATTTTAATTTTATATACAATCTTATTAACTTTTGTTATCTAACTCAATTGAAAGTTTTGTGGAGCATGGTTATATAAGTATTTTAGAAGTAAATCAATTACCCATTTTTATTAACAAATTTTTTATTTTATTATTAGATTTTATGGAATAATAATAATAACAATAAAATCGATTAATACGTATTTTCCGAGCAATCAAATCACAGTAAAAGGATTACAATCGAAAAAATTACAAAATCGTTATTTTTGGTACTCCTCTCTTGTATCACGTACGTTTTAATAGTTTTCGTGCATACAAGCTGCAGCACAAAAATCGTTTGCATGCAGTAGTACATTTTGTAGGAGAGTGCACAATATTTCTCTCTCATAGAAAATTTCATGAAATTCTGCTGCTTGATTTTATAGCAAAAGGGATATATATGATATAGGAGTTGTTTTCTGTAAATAAGATTTTTTTGTGTAAAGTGTGTGTGTGTGTGTGTGTGTGTGTGTTGCTCCGAAATTTAAACTAGTTTTTATATGACGAGCACATAATTATAGTGTTATCTGTTGCTAAATGGCTAGAGCTATAAAATCAGGATTTAAACAGGATTATCAATAAATTAGCACAAAAAGAGCACTAAATCCCCCATATGTCTCATGTGATTATGATAATTTAGCTTAACAGAAACATAAAAATAAATAATTTATGGTTACAGTTTGTATCAGTAATAGTTTTGCTGATACATTATCTATTTTCAAAGAAAAATTATCTTTTTCGCAAGAAACTCTTGCGAAAGATTCGTTAGAACTTCAAAACATCGTTCATAATGCTATTTGTTAATAATATTCGTATTTTGGAAAATATTGCAATAAAAATTGGAGTAACTAAGAGTAACTACATACACAAATAAAAACATATAAATCGTATGCAAATAACTAAACAGTTACGAGAGAAAAAACAATTATTGAAATGTTTATAAGGTGCCATTTCTGCTGGAATAATTACGGAAACAATTCATAGTGAAATATTAATATTAATCTTCATTTATAATAATTAGCCCAAAAAAAACCAGAAGAACTGGGGCAACTGTGGACATATATTTTTTAAAATTAAAATTAATAATACATATTTATAAAGAAATTATATTTTTGTACATGTATATCCTTATTATATCTGATTGTGAATTCAATTTGTTTCAAAATATTTTAATTTTGTAAAAAACGATAATATATCAAAATTATTAGTACTTTAAATTTGGCGCTAACTGATCGTTAACATACAACGTTGCCATATGTCACTATATACAGGGTGTTTGAGAAGTAATGAAAAATTTTGTCGCATGGAATGGATTAAACTGATCAGAAAAGTCCTATACTATTTTACTATTTTCGTAATAGTCAACGAGATATTAATTAATAAAAATATTGACTTGCGCGCAGGGCGGTGAGGTGAAGGGGAATGCGGAGGCGATTCGAAAATCGGCCGAAAGTTGCATACACTTTGTACTGACACCTTTAATTAATAATATATCAGTTACTTTTCATGGTAATATATTATTATTATTATTAGATAAAAAGGTTTAAATTTTGAGTATCCTTTTTTGAATATGGTTTGAACTTTTCATTTTTATGATATGATTTTTTTCTGATATCATTTACTTTTTAGAGTACAAATATATCATAAATATATACAAAAAATGATTTAAAAATACATGCCATTATATAACGAAAGAAAATTGTAAAATGATAGAGGACTTTTCTTCTCAGTTTAGTCCTACCCCTATGCGACAAAATTTTTCATTACTTTCAAACACTTGCTGTGTACAGAACTTGAACTTTCTTGTCATGACCTAGTTTACACCCAGCCGTCCAATCCCGATTCACTTCGAAGTGAAGTGGATTTATAGAATGTTTACACCGGATTCGCTCTACTCCGCTAAGAAAAGAGGATTGAAATCAGTCGAAACTAATCCGTTTACACCCATGAAATTTCACTTCACTTCGAAGTGAATCGGGATTGGACGGCTGGGTGTAAACTAGGTCATACAGTTGTAGATTGGATTTCCTTTTGCCGAGGTTATACATTTATTATTATAATATATTTATTATACAGGGTGAATTTTTTAACCTAAAACTTTCAAATATCTCGAAAATTAAATCCAGTAGACAAAAATGTCTTAAATAAAAATGGAACGGTGTCGAGGGGAACACGTTTTAGTCACGTTGTTTTTTTTCCTAAATGGAGGCGCTAAAAAGATATGAAAGTCATCTCCACTTTTTTAAATGGAATTATGTAATTTTTTTAGATAACCTGTGATTCCTGTAATTATTTTGCATATAAAAGTATTAAGGTAGAGATACCAAAAAACCAATAGTTTTCGAGATATTTTACACTTTCTTTTGGTACATATTGACACAAAAAATGTTAAATAACTCGTAAACTGTTGTCTTTTTGATTATCGTACCTTAATACTTTTGTGAACAGAATAATGAGAAAAATCAAATGGTGTAAAGAAAACACATAGTTGCGTATTTAAAAAATTATCTATTTTGTATACATATTTTTTTAAAGCGCGCGCGCACACCCACCCACCATTTGAGGTTTTTTTGCACGTAATAAACAAATCTAGCAAAAGAAAAAGGTGTTGCTTTGTTTCGTAGATTAAGATTTAATGTTGACAACTATTTAGGTTAGGAAATCTGTCACATCGATGACAATATCCCATTATACTGATAATAGCATAAAGGGAGAACACATAGGTGAGGCTAGAATACCTATTTTCTGTTTCAATGACACAAATTCTTGGTTTTAAAAACAAATTCTCTACTGGAGAAACAAAAATTGTGGAAAATAATTTGTGTTTTTAAAGCAGAGAATTTTTATGTAATCGTCTACGCTATCGATATGACAGATTTTCTAACCTAATATCTAATAGTTAACCTAACGATTAATATCTCGCTTCGCAGGACAGAGCATTTCTTTCTGTCAGATTTGTTCGTTTCGTGTAAAAACAAATGAGACTATTTCATCAATATTGAAGAGGAGGCGAGAGGTTAAACATTTACCTCTAAATTTTTGATTACGAATTTTCTAAAAACAAGGCTCTTTAAAAGATATCTCCTTGCAGAAATAAAATACTTTTTGCACTCGCTGTATCTATTATATTGTATTTTACTTGTACAAATACGTGACAAGTATGTGTATTGTGCAGGTGCATTCATATTAAGTTGAGAGCTAGCAAAGAAAAAAAAAACTAATAATAAGAGATAGAAAATAATTTTGTACCTCCTTTACAGGGTGTGCGATGGGTGGAATGTTGAGCGCGATAGCCGGTAATCATTTCATAGTCGCCAGAATCGCGCCTAAGCGGGAACGTGGTCTCTAGAATGTGATCGCAGGGCTGCATTAACATTAGAATTCCCTTAACCTTCTTTTTACGCTCCTCGATCGGGACACGTGATCGCTTGCCAATATCCTCGACCAGTTTGTCTTCAATAATTTGACAAGCGCGATGAAAGAAATATTCCACCATATCGAAGAATCTGGGATTCGGCGCTTCGGGCACGTCTTTAAGGCGGTCCGGAATCTGATGATCGGCATAACCACGATAGACCGTTGCTTGCCAGGCGGCCGGTGCGACGCGCATCAGAATGCTCTGTTGTCCATCGTTACTCGATACTTGCTTCAAGGCAATCGATGACCGTGTGAGATTTCGCAGATGAAACATCTTCGTTCGCGATGATGATAGACTTATGAGTGATAACAGTGGCTTATACGACGTTGAAACCGAAAAATAATTATCAAACGAAATCAGTAATCCACCAACTTCTGCCAACTGTGTCAGAATCAGACTGCCTGCAACTGCCAAGTTGGCAGTGCTGCCAGATTCCGGTTTACGCCGTTTACCACTTGGTAGCGTGTGGTGTAGGGGTAGCTGATCAGAGAAGCGCAACCGGCTTAAGTCAGTATCGCAAAATTACTAAAAACAGTATTAAAAATGGCATCGTTTGCAGACGAATAGAGACCCTTAAAGTAGAGTCCTAGATATCAGAGAAGCGCAACCGATGTTTCGCGTCCTGATTAGCTGACTGTCAGCCAATCATGACATTCATTCAGTGGTATTAAAAATGGCTGACTAATAGACGATTGGTGGATTTCATATTTCGTCTGCAAACGACGCCATTTTTAATACTTTCCTTAGTAATTTTGCGATACTGACTTAAGTCGGTTGCGCTTCTCTGATATCGAGGAAAGTCTAGGACTCTAGCCTAAAGCAGCCATCTTCATTTCATGCATTTGATATCACAAGCTGATTGGCTCGTGACATCACGTGATATGAACGACTGCGCATCTTACGGAATACTTCACCCTTGTATATTTTCACCATGCCTGCATGCTTCTTATTACTCCGTGATCTGGCCATATTGTTTTCGCATACTTCGTCTGACCGGTCTGACTCGCCTCAAAGCCGCCAAGCTAGTTTAATATCTTAGTATTAAATTTCCTAATTCGAGAGAAAACATTTTTCCCTATCTTGCAAATCCTCCCCCAAAACTCTGTCGCCTCTTGTTGTCCTTTTTCCGATCTGTAAATACTCCGATTTAATTTGTTTACTCTCCCACCGGCGCCCTTCCGATCCGAAGGTGTGTGCGGAGCGTTTCACATGTCGATACTTAGGATACTGGCCGTATCGTTCACCTGCGGGAGCTATTAAATAATAAGAACAAGAAGAAGCTTCCGTATACTCTAGGGAGGGAGGCAGGAGCCATTAATAACTAAGAAGAAGAAGAAGAACGACACTTTTTTCAGCCAGATTCGTCAGTATCTTTTGTACAAAAATCACAACAACGTGCGCTTCATCTGTTTCTGAGGTAATGTGGTAAAGTGTATGTATGTATACACACAGGCAGGACATTTAAAACAGGTTACCTGAATAACTCGCTTGTTTGTAACAATAAAAGAAAGTGTCAAACAAAAGTTGCTTGTTTTCGAGAGGCACATAATGTGATGTTAATAATTGTTTTGTAGGTGGAGGCATAAATGATAAGCAAAGGTCAATCTGTGTTTTTTTTTTTTAATGGAATAATGTTTTTTTATTTACATTCTGATAGAGCATTTTAAGATGAATACAATAATGACCTATAATTGAATTCAAGATTACGCAAGGTCAGTAATTTTAACAGAAATATTGCCACTATTGTTAGATATTCCATTGAACGTACGACAATCAATGTGGTACCAGCAAGATAGATGTCCTGCTCATTTTGCAATAATATAGTGGCAATATTTCTGTTAAAATCTGTGAATACTTACGATTATTTAATGTTCCATCGATAAAATAAGGACAAATTATTTTATTATTAAGAATTCTAGCCAGCCATTTATAGACCAAGGTCACTGTCTGTCCATTTCTCAGTCAATGTGAGTTTTCTATTGACCAATAGTGCATGTTGCAAAGATTTATTTGTTCATTGTTTGTAAATGTAGCTTAGTCAGTAAATAAGATTTTAGTAACAAACATATCATTTTCTTGTAGTCTTCGTAGTGCCCATTCACAGAATTGTACACGATTTAAAGAGTGCCTTGAAACAATTTATTTTCCATTACATTCAATTATTATCCACTATAGACCTTGCGTAACCTTGAATGACCTTCAATTACAGGTCATTGTATTCATCTTAAAATGCTTTATCAGAATGTAAGTAACAAAACATATTTTATTTAAAAAAACAGATTTGATTCTTTACGTCTTTGCCTATCCTTTAGGCTAATTCTAAAATGTGCTTTTTGTTTCCTGTTTCTTGCTATTTATCTCTTGCCTTTTTTAACAAGACAAGAGACAAAGAACAGGAAACAAAAAGCACATTGTAGAATTAACCTTACGCTTTCACCTACAAAACAATTATTGACATCATATTATGTATCTTTCAAAACCAAGCAACTTTTGTTTGACACTTTTTTTCCTATTGTTAAAAACAAACGAGTTATTCAGGTGATCTTAAATGCCCCATCCTGTATACACACACATACACACAGTATGTATATATATATATATATATATTAATATAATACACGATTAATCATAATCTGAACTTGTGTAGTCCTATCCCATATTAAGTGAAATGGATAAAATGATTACGTATGAAAATACTTCTAAACGTAATAAAAATAACGAGTATAAAGTCAAAGGGTACACACAGTCTAAAGTATTGTATAATCGAAAGTTCACGGCACCTTTGTGGAAAAAACGGAAAAATGAATATGATGCTGATGAAGAAGCTAGGTAAATCATAAGAATAAAGGTGCCATTTCATGCTGACGCTCGACGCTCATTCTTAGCGATAAAATAGATCACGTGATCAAAATTGATGCTTGATATTCGTCAATTTTATCATTTGGTCTATTCTGACGCTAAAAATGAGAGTCAAGCGTCAGCAAATTAGCACGTTAAAGAGAATAAAGTCAGCGACAGTAGTGCTCTTTTTTTAATCCTTTCTAAAAGTATTTAAAAATATTTAATATGTTTATTTGTTAAAGGTTAGAAAAAATAGTTTTCGGAAATCCCAGTGATATTATAAATAATTTATTAGATGATAAGTCTAAAACGAAAATAAAAGATGAACATGTTGATGTTTGTGAAACGATAAAAGATAACAAGGATGACGGAATAAACAGTGAGGATAGCGAGAATGATTCAGATCAGAATATTTCAATTTTAAATTATAGCAATGATACACACACAAAACTAGAAAAAAAGGAACCAGCATGGATAGATGAAGATGATTATAGTTACACGTAAAAAGAAAAAATATTTTATATTTTATGTTGCATATATATTTTTTTTCTATTATATGTGTTTTTATATTTTATTACAGTGTAGATTTGTCTTTAAATTCACAAAATCATAATTTATCTTGTGAGAGATCAGAAAAATTATATACAACATATTTAGAAAACAGATACAAATTGTTTGTGGGTACTCCCAAATGGGCTAAACTTGAAAGAAATGATGAAGCTGATGACTTGGACAGTAATATCTTGAAGGTATTTCTCTTTTTCCTCTCGAAACTTTTTCTGCTCAATGGATCGAATTTTCATTTTCTTCATTTTTCATATTTAGCACAGTTGTCATTTGGAAGCACCAAAAATAAAAAGTCTACCAAAAAATGTTATTGACATTAAAGTGCTCAAAGCTTTGAATAAAACCACTCACACGGAAGGCCCCATTGTTACTAGTGTGGAATTTCATCCATCATCCACTGTGGCTTTAGTTGCTGGTACATCAGGTGTCCTGTCACTATTTCAGGTATTTAAATATGAATGAAAATTATTTTACATGGATTTAATATCGAAATAATTTTGCTAGCAACTTTTTCAGTATCAATCGTACCTTTATTCTATAATAGTGGTATAAGAAAAACCGAGAGTCTGAAACCAATATTAGACATCAAATACTGTTATTCAATCAAAATTTTCAAAATATTAGTACATGCATAATTTTGTATTGTTCAAAACATTAAAGAGAATAACTTTGATTGTTATTCGCTTTTTAATGAATATAATGAGCAACAGCTAAAGCTGGAAAGTTACTCATGACCTTCACAACATATGTCAAGGCCAAGATGTTTGGGACTAGTTCTTCTTACACCATGGGTTCTTCTATACTGAACAATTATCGAAATCTTCTTAATCACATTATTAGATCACTCAATATCGATTACTATTAATAAATAAATGGTTTTTATTTTATAGGTGGATGGCCATACGAATAATAAATTACATAGCATGAAATTTAAAAAATATCCAATTAGCAAAGCGACATTCATGAAGGAAGGAACAGAAATTTTACTTGGTTCTCAATATTATCCGTATTGTCATACTTACGATTTAATGAATGGCAAAACATATAAATTCTCTTTGCCACACAGAATTACAAATATGAAGGTTCATAAAACTGCGACTATCATATTAAAAATAAATTTGCAGATTGATGCTGTAGTATACATTTTAATATTTTCAGCGTTACGAAGTATCCTCTGATGGCAAATTAATAGCATTGTGCGGAAGATCGGGCGAGATATATTTGTTACGTAGCTTTACTAAAGAACTTGTCGGTACATTCAGAATGAATTCAAAATGTAGGGTACTAGCATTCACGCCAGATAGTAAAACACTTATCTCACACGGTGGTAAGTATAACTTGTATGAGTTTTATTTCGATACATGTTTTCCAACAAGATTTCCAAAGATTGATACATTAAATTCTTTTCTCATTATTCAAACCGTAGATGGCAGTGAGATGTATATATGGGATTTGAATACTCGCATGTGCATCAATCGTGCCATAGATGACGGAAGTTTATCTTGTAAATCGCTTGCCGTGTCTCCGAGCGGCCAATTCGTTGCTACTGGCAGTGCACAGGGCGTAGTTAATCTCTATGATATGAAAACTGTGTTGGAGGATCGAAATCCCACACCTCTAAAAATATGGATGAATCTTGTGACTAGTGTTACAAGCCTGAAATTTAATCTGACCTCTGAGATACTGAGTGCAGCGTCCGTTGACAAACACAACGCATTTAGAATGATGCACCTACCATCGTTTACCGTGTTTTCCAATTTTCCGACGCTTCAAACTATTATAGGCATGCCGCAAACGATTAATTTTTCTCCCGGAAGTGGTTATCTTAGTATTTCGAATAGAACAGGTTCTGCTTTGTTATACAGATTGAGACATTATGGAAATTACTAATTATGTTGGTAAAAAGTTTTTCTAACGTTTTTGTATACAATATAAAAATCTGTGTACAATATATAAGGTTAATGTAATAATCATTGTAATCTGTTATATTATTATCTATTATATCTTAATTACTTTATCCTACTTATTATTATTAGTTTATTTTTGTACAGTTTATATTATTACAGTCTACGTAAAGCTATACCCTAATAGCAAAGTCTGTGAAAACAGATTTGGAGCAGAACCTGCTGACAATGTTCGATTACAGATTGGCAACAAATTGTAGACAGTCTGTATTGTCAGCAAACTGCTGCCAAACTGCTGTCAACGTCTGCTGACATGTTTTGCCAGCAGATTGGTAGCAAAAACCGAACAGAGTCTGCTGACATGATCTGACAGCAGATTGCGAGCAGAGCCTGCGGACAGAAGTTGACGACAGATTAGCAGCAGAAACCGCGCAAAGTCTGCGCTTACCTAGTCATTTAAAATTTAAATGCCTATTTTTACCGCTTGTGCGAGCACTCTAAACTCTCTGAGTGCGTTCTGGGAACACACTGTCAGCGTCATTTTATCTTTCGTGCAATCCAAGTTATTCTAAATACGTCCGAATGGCACGCTGTCAGTAGCATTGTTCATTTTGTATCTCGGGAGCTGCTTCGAACGAACCCAGCATTTGGATGCGATTCATTTCACGCTGCAAATACTTCGAAACATTCTCTGATTGATCAATTTGTAAAATTCTTACTACCAAATGATCAACAAAGCATTTGCAGCATTAAATGAATCACATCCAAGTACGTTGAGTTCATTCAGAGCAACTCCGAGCAGCTCCCGAAAGACACCCAGTGTGCACTAGGCATTATGCCTAATTCATAGTGGAAGCGATGGGCAATGCTAAAAATAAAAAAAAAAAAAAAATAGCTAAGCGCAGACTGCGCGGTTTTTGCTGCTAATCTGTCGTCAACTTCTGTCAGTAGGCTCTGCGCGCAATCTGCTGTCAGATCATGTCAGCAGACTCTGCTCGGTTTTTGCCAGCAATCTGTTGCAAAACATGTCAGCAAATGTTGTCGCCAAATCCATAGCCAAATGCGGACGCAGATGGCTACGGTTTTGTAGACAAGATCGATCGAGTTTGCTGCCAATTTCCGCGCAAATTGGCATCATTTTGCTATCAGAAGGTATAAAAGTTAAGAAAGATTACACAGTAAAGATAATTACACATCTATACGCGCGTTACACAACAAATTATAAAATTTCTACACTCCAAAAAGCAAATTGTGTTTAATCGCAGGAGACGCGATAGTGTCTCCGACCATGTTCAAAAACTGAAAGACTACAAGTCTCTTATCCTGAGCCACCAAAGTCCATTTTTGGGGGGTGCATAACTACTAAAATATAAAAAAATTTCGAATCGAATGTTATATGTCCTGAAAGGCGGCATCGCCACGAGTAATTTGAGCCGAAAAAATTTAAAATCTGTCAGGCCGTTCTGGAGATACAAGCGGTCGAAAAGTGATGATTTTAATGAAAAATTAAGAAACGTCTGTCTGTCCGTCCGAAATATGTAACTTTTTAATTCCCTCTCACCTTTTACTCACACCTCCACCATCTTCGATCCACCGAACTCCTACCCCCGCCTTCCCCCCACCACCCATCTCTTTCGCCGTATTTCACTCTTTCGTTATTACAACTTTTTGACATCCTCTTTTACCTTTCACTCACACTTCCACCATCTTCGACCCACCGGACCTCCTCCCCTCTCTCCACCACCCACCTCCACCACCCCTCTCTTTCGCTATATTTCACTCTCTTTCGTTATTTTTTTATACTATATATTTGTGATATATTTGTATTCTGAAAAGTAAGTGATATCCGATAAAAATCATATTATAAAAATGAAAATTTCAAGCCATGTTCAAAAAAAGATACTCAAAAATTTAAACTATTTTATCTAATAATAATATATTACCACGAAAAGTAACTGATATATTATTAATTAAAGGTACCAGTTTCAAAGTGAACGTACATAAAGTGTATATGTAACTTTCGGCTCATTTTCGAATTACCTCCGCCTTCCGCTGTCCCCCTCACCTCATCGCCTGCGTGCAGATGTAACTTTCGGCCGATTTTCGAATAGTATTGTTCAGAGATAAATAAACTCCGTCTTCCGCTGTCTCCCTCACCGTCCCGCGCGCAATCAAAATGCCGCTCGAGCGACATTTGATCTGTTCGCGGGACGGTGAGGGGGACAGCGGAAGGCGGAGTTAATTTATCTCTGAACAATACTATTCGAAAATCGGCCGAAAGTTACATACACTTTATGTATGTTCACTTTGAACTGGCACCTTTAATTAATAATATATCAGTTACTTTTCATGGTAATATATTATTATTAGATAAAATAGTTAAAATTTTTTTTGTAGTATTACATCTCATATTATATTGTTGCTTCGTATTCATCGTGTGTGTAGAAAGAAAATTTATTTTTTTATTCTACCTTTATTCAAAGTAAAATGTACAACTTTTTAATATTAAGTATTATAATTTTAATTTTTCTTTTTACAAAGAAATAGATGTTACATTTAAATCATCTTCATTGTAATTCTACAATGTGCTCTTTGTTTCCTGTTTCTTGCTGTTTGTTTTTTGCCTTTTTAACCAAAAGGAAACAGGAAACAAAGTGCACATTGTAGAATTACCATCACTCTTTTATGGTTTTATAATTTTTTAATATCTGCTTTTAATAAATATAATTATATATATATATATATATACACAAATAAATAAATAATATATCTTGACATAAAAATTTTTTTATAGAAAGTAATAAAAACACTATTTTTTTCCATTTTTTTCTCAGATACTTGTACATTTTACAATTGATTCCAAATTTTTGTACATTATACACGATATACAGACTTCATACGCATTACAGTGTTTACTATACATCTAATTATATAATATAAATTGTTTTATATCTATATTAACATCTATATACATATTTGTACTAAGTATAAGTAAATGATATTATGTATTTTATAAATAAAATATGTTTGAATAATATTTAAAATAAATGTTTAGAAAAGCAAGATATATGATATGCAATGAACGACATATTCGAAAAATTTAATACAATTTTAAATTACAATTTTATCTTGCAGAATCTTTGAGACTATCACCTTTGGTTATTTGTCGCTTGCATATTCATTGAAAGTAAGTTCATGACAGGTACCCTGAACAGAAAATAGTACATACATCGTGTAACCGTGGGGGATAGTTGCTTATAGCGCGGCCGGGCGCGAGCGCCCGTGCCGACCTATAAACAAATATGCCCCCACTCGCTACACATAGAATTTTTCATTACAAGTGCTCGTCGTAATATGCCCTATACAGTAACGTTTTTGCGCAGAAGAGTGGGATTAGAGAAATAACTCAACGGCTTGAGGTATTGGCTATTTACCGCACGCAAAAGCGTTGCACGCGTGATGAAAAAATATATAATATATGTGTATATGTATATTTCATAGTAATAAACAATTAACCGATATGTATTTCTAAACACACACACAGAATGAATCTTTATGTGCATACAAGATATTTATTTATATTTCGATGTTTTTTTTTAATATAGAGTTATTGCGAGTTTACTTTTAGTAACCTACAGATCTTTAAGTAATGTAGAGTGCTCCGAAATTCACAAATCAAAATATCACAGTAGTTTTCATAAAATTAAATGAAGGAGTTATATGTACATTCTTATTTCAAACAGTAGTTTCTGAAATATTGTTTAAATATAGCCATTATATGTATATTTTATTTAGCTCTATAACTTTGAGTCTCACATTTTTTCACTACAATTGATTGTTTAAGATATTTTCCCGTTCTTAAACGTTTTGAAGTCCTGTGCGTGCGTGCGTGTGTGTTAAGCAAGTGCCCGCACTTGTACATTGCGCACGCGCGCGCGCGCAAAGCACCTACACCTACATGTACAGTTCTCTAAATTGATAGTATAACCGAAAGACTATTTCTGGAAGAAAAAAAAAAAAAAAAAACGTTGAAAACTAGAAAATTAAAATATTTATGTTTAAACTTGAATAACTTTCAACAATTTTATATCATCGAAATCGTCTCAATAGAAAGAGAATAGTTATGAAAATAAATATGAAAGGACACATTTTATTATATTTTTTAAAAAGTACGAACGATTTTAATATATTTTTCATCACGCGTGCACGTAATATGCCCAATAACTCAACGCTTTTGCGTGCGGTAAATAGCCAATAAATCAACGGCTTGAGTTATTACTCTAACCCCGCTCTTCTGTGCAAAAACGTTTCGGTGTAGGCACATTACGACGAGCACTTGTAATGAAAAATTCTATGTGTAGCGAGTGGGGGTATATTTGTTTATAGGTCGGCACGGGCGCTCGTGCCTCGCGCCCGGCCGCTCAATAAACAACTATCCACCACTGTTACACAATGTACTATTACATACAAATTTTTCAGTCATTAAATTATTTTGAATAGTTTTATTGAGTAGAATATGTTACACATTTTTATTTATGATCGTAATGACACACGATATAGTCAAAAATTTGGTAAATATTCAGGAAAGGGAAGTCACCTCCGATGACCTTAACCTTGACATATGTTGTCAAGGTCGTTACCCTGAGTGACCTTTACTAGGTTTTACGTAGCACACCAGCGCGTGTAAAGCGCTTTCGAAGCGCTGTTCAGATTGCACCTCCCAAAACTGCTGTTAATTATGCACTTTTATTGCATGCGGATAACTCGGCTAATTTCAAGTCATATTGCAGACACTGTTATATACGACATGAAAAGTGCAATAAATGTGCTATAAAACTGTATTTATTCTGCGCTGATTATATGCGCTTTTCGTAGTGGATGCGCTTTTAAAGCGCTAATAAGCTGCTAAAGTAATGCGCCTTGCATATACGCGCTTTTTTAGCGCTACTGTGCTACGTGGGCTGTATCCATACACTTTACAACGTAGCAGAAATAAGACACGTTATTCTTTAAACTTTTCACAAAA